GGTGAAGTTTTTGCACCAGTTGCACGATGGGATACGATCAGAACTTTGTTAGCCATAGCTGCACACAATGGCTGGAATGTATACCAACTAGATGTTAAAAGCGCCTTCTTGTATGGAGAGCTGAAAGAGGTCGTGTACGTGGAGCAACCGAAAGGTTTTGTCAAAAAGGGAGAAGAAAACAAAGTGTATCGTCGCAAGAAGGCCTTGTATAGACTAAAGCAAGCTCCTCGAGCATAGTTTAGTCGGATCGAAAGTTATTTCAAGCGAGAAAGTTTCGAGAAAAGCAACTATGATCACACGTTATTTATCAAACGGGTCGGTGAAAAACACGTCATTGTAAGTCTCTATGTCGATGATTTAATTTATGTTGGTAATGATACTTTATTATGTGAAGAATTCAAGAAGTCGATGAAACAAGAATTTGAAATGACTGATTTGGGAATGATGAGATTTTTTCTCGGAGTAGAAATTCATCAGAGTGCGAAGGGGATTCATTTGTGTCAAAAGAAGTATGGAAAAGAAGTCTTAGAAAGGTTTGGGATGTGGAACTGTAATTATGTCAAAAATCCCATGGTTCCAGGTACCATTCTAACCAAGCGGGGAAGAGGAGAAGAGGTGGACTCTACTATGTATAAGCAACTGGTGGGAAGCTTGATGTACCTGACCGTTACACGACCTGACATGATGTATGTGGTATGCTTGGTATCTCGTTTTATGGCCAAACCAAGAAAAGATCACTTGCTGGCAGTAAAGAGAATCTTAAGGTATTTGAAAGGCACCGTTGATTTTGGCTTGTTTTATGGAAGAGGACATGATGTAGAATTGAAAGCATTCACTGATAGTGATTAYGCAAGGGACGAAGAAGATAGAAGAAGTACTTCCGGATACGTGTTTCTGTTGAACGGGGCTGCAATTTGTTGGAGCTCAAGAAAACAGTCCATTGTTACTTTATCATCGACGGAGGCCGAATACATTGCAGCAACTACCTGTGCGTGTCATTGTGTGTGGTTAAAAGGATTGCTGGGACATTTTGGTGACAAGAAGTGCAAGACCTTTCCAATTTTCTGCGACAATAGCTCAACCATTAAGCTGTCAAGAAATCCGGTGATGCATAGAAGAACTAAACATATAGATGTGWGGTTTCATTATCTACGAGATCTCACAAATCAAGAAATTGTGAAGCTGGTGTTTTGTGGAACCAAAGAACAGATTGCTGATATCATGACTAAACCCGTGAAGCTGGAAACATTTGTTAAATTACGAGCTCTACTTGGGGTGCAGTCACGTGAAGATTAAACTGGATGGTGGTTTAGCATTTTAGTTTAAGGGGAGGAATTTATTGAAGTAGTCAAAATTAGTTTTTATGAATAAGAGGTCATGTACCGAGTTTATAGGAAGGTCTTTAGAAGATAAGTTTCTTTTGATTTTATCTCTTAATTAGTAGTAATCTGATAGGGTGAGTCAAGCTATTTTAGCTCCTATTTCTTCTTATCTGTAGGCTATATATACAGCCATATTCTTGATTGAATAAGGTGAATAATACCATTTGAATACTTCAGATTATAACTCTGATCCATCAGGAATTGGCTCAAATATCTAAGGGTCGGTTGTTAATAGACGAAGACGAGGACAAGGACGTTGAATCTGTAGGCTCGAATAGGCCTGAAGAGAAACGAGAAGAGGATGAAAAGAGAGGAGATGAAGCGATGACTATTAAGATTTTTCGTCTTTGCTTATTAACAACCATCCCACGGTGGTCGATCTTGATTTTCTTTTTGGGCATGGGTTTTGACGGTAATAATAAAATGGACTCAAGTTGCATTCTACTTGTTAAACAGGGTTATACCATTGGTCCGTGACCCTAAGGATGCCGGACGAAGGTGTCTCCACCAAGCATAATACCCCTCTCTCCAACTCAAGGGGTACAAAAGGCGACCACATCAACGTCTGTCTTCCGCCAAGTGGAAAGAGAAACTAGTCGATAGTGAACCCAAGACAATGTTCATAACCTTTTTGGTTCTTGTTGATTTCATGAAGGGGAAGGGCATGTTCCCTTACATGATCTCTTTCCTTCTCCTTTATAACCGGGAGAGGTATGAAAATGCCTTGGTGGAGGACATGGATACTCACGTTGTCGGGATTTCTTTCCTGGTAAGATAATGAAAATATTTTCATTTTTATGCCTTTTCTAAACTTCAACTTCTAATTATGTCGCATTTATTTATGTAGGCGTTTCAGACATCTTTGAATCTACATACCCAAATCGAGAAAGTTCGTGGAGTTTCTTTGACAACTTTAAGGAATATAAAGGAGTCTTTAGCAGCAAGGCATGTTGTCAAGGTTAAATTAGAAGATTCTCTCTCTTGCCTCGAAGAAGAGGGAAGGGGCAAAAGAGAGAGATGTAGGGATGCCTGAAGGAGGCTCTCGAAAAAATATCCCACGTCTGAAATGGAGGAGAAAAAGGTTAAGTTAGCCTTGGAAGAGAATGAAAAAGAGGCCAAGGTGCTTAAGTCTTCTCTGGTGGAGTCACACGACAAAATAAAGGGCTTGGAAGAGGAACTAGAGGCTTTAGAGACCTAGGTTTATTCATTTGAAGACGGGAGCCCTTATTATGCGACAACATTTCACGGGAACAGTTTTATCGTGCGTCTTCCGTTTACAGGTGTTCAAGCATTTCAATTTTTGCTTTACGTTTTCTGGTGATAGTACAATTTATAAGTCATCTTTATTGAAGACCATACAGTTGAACTTTATGTTCTGGCCGTTATTGACGATAGTTTGTCTTGCAAGTCGCCTCCATTGGTGACATTGTTTTTTTACCCTGTGTCCTGCCTCGCCTCTGTTGGCGATCATATGATTATACAAAAAAATAAGGTTAGGGGTGGTCGTTGGTTTGACGAATGACCCTCTAATGCTTAAATTAGTATTCATATCTTGGATAATAGATAATTGAAATAAAAGATAGATTAGAAAATATACTTCTTCAGGTGTACCATATTCCAACTACGTGGGAAGTCGTGGATAAGCATCTTTTACCATGACTTCTAAAATCTGTAAAGCTCTTCCAACTGATATAAAGTTTACCCGCGTTAAGTTCTTGACGGGTGTCGAGTCC